TAGTACTTTTTAATTAAAATTTTGAGGTATCTATCTTTTTGCATTGGCCAATAATATATATATTATATAATATAAATTAAATACTCATGTGACAGAGGGGAAATTTCCTCCTGGGGAAAATTAGCAATACTCATATTTTATTTAATTTATTTCAAATTAATTCGAAATATCCTGAAATATTTCGAATAATATTTGGTAAATTCAAATTGATTAGCTTTTTTTACTTATTAGTAGCTATCTTTTAGTCTATAAATATTTTGCTGTTTTGATATATTTATATCTATTCGATTTGTTTTGAACTAATTCAAAATATTGTGCAATATTATACCTAGACCGTAATTATTGCACAATATTTCAGGCCATAATAACTTACGTAAGATTACATTTATATATTTCGCTGATGTATATAATAATATTAATCTAAATAAATAATAAATATAGTGATTTAGTATAGTGGTCTAATTGTCACTCTTTCCAAGTGGCAGGTCTAGAGTTTGAATCCCACTGGCAATGATTTTAAAAAATAGGTCTGTATACAGTTGATGGCTTTCTATCAGTTGGATCTAGATTAATCTGTAATCTTGGTTATACTATCTAGTAATAGAAGCTTTGGCACAATAAATTCAGAGAACTGGAATAACTAAAAATCTGTTTGGCAAGTCTTGAGTTTGAAGATAGCAGTGATCTATAACAGTACTACAGGAGGGCTGAATTCAAACTGAGCTCAAGATCAGAGAACCGAGCAATCAGGTTCTAATGGCAGAGAATATACTAGTCGAACTGCCAGGTTGTCACACTAGAGAAAAAAGACATATATTTCGAAAGTATGGACCAAGAGAAGAGTGTTCTTTAGGCAACTAAAGTCTGGGCAGACCAACCTTTCTGAGTTGCTAGCTGAAAATAAGAGAGGGACTAATAAAGAATCCAGGTAAGAAGATAGTCCAAATGTGGGTACTGGGGTTGCTAAAAACCAGAACAAGGGCAAGGAGTATGTAATAGGCATCTAATTAGGAAGATTGATACTTGAGAAACATCTATAAAATGGCAGTACTCCAAAAAATGGTATGAGATATGCATATGAAATAGCAAATCAATATGTATTAATTAGGAAAAAGTTATAGAAACAAGCATGTGAATACATGTATGAAACATGTATTGCTATATTTAAGGATAGACTAGGTCTATATAGATTAGTAAATTCTAAGACAGGGTATAAAAACCAATATAGAGTAATACCAATATTTACTTAGTTTAGTAAGGAAACCCTCTGGGTTAGAGGGCCGATGAAGGTAGTTAGAACCAGATAATTTAAATGAGTACCTCCTAGTTGGGGTGCAGATATAACAGATAGTGTAGAACCTTCGGGCAGACTACTTAAATTAGACACTCAAAAGGTGCATGTGTGGTTTGATGTACTATCGTTGTAATTACATATAAAACTCTGTCTATACTTTAATAAAAAGTTTTCTAGGCTAATAAAGATCACCTTAATATTAAAAAAAAAAAAAAACTAATCTAAATAAATATAACTAATACTGTATATACAAATAATAAACTATAAACTACACTATGCTATACTAATATTATATTGTGTTACAATCTGCTTTGTAACAATATATAATCTCCACTATAATATTTGGCATTTGGTATCACTAATTAAATTTGCTGACATTTTTCCGCATATTTCATTGGTCCATATTACCTTTAAAAAAAATTTCATATTTTTATATTAAAAAATGGGTTTTTAAAAAAAAAAACTTTTTTTTTTACTAAGTAAACCTTTTTTCAAGAACTAAATAAAGTTGTAGAGGAGTGTCTTGTGATCAAAATGGCAGTTAGAACATTAAAATTGGCCCAGTAGTTGTTGAGATATCTTGGGCTAGAGGCACGAACATAAGGATCGGCTAAGACACTATTACACAAAGTGTATTTACTATTGTCTTTAGAATTGTTTTTGAAATTTAGAGTTTTTCTTTTTTTTTTACTATGTAAACCTCTTTTTAAAATCTAAGTAAAGTTTGTAAAGAAGTGTCTTGCGATCATAATGATGGTAAAAACGTTAAAATTGGCCTGGTGGATTGTGAGATATAATAAGCCTTTTTGTCTTCACAACTATATATTTTCTTTATTTATATAAAGAAAAGACATATAGTTGTAAAGACGAAAAGGCTTATATCTCGCGATTCACCAGGCCAAATTTAATGTTTTTACCGCCATTTCGATCGCAAGACACTCCTCTACAACTTTACTTAGACTTTAAAAAGAGGTTTATATAGTAAAGAAAAAACATTTTTTAAAAACAATAAAAAGTATACTATATATAATGCGCAGAGGTTTACTTAGAATTTCGGCCCAAATTAAGCTTAATTTAGGCCAAAATTCGAAATTATACCATTCAGGTTCTTTTGAACCCAATTTGGGTTTGTTTAAAACCAACTCAGGTTCGTTGGAACCCAATTCAATTTTGTTTGAACCTAATTCAGGTTTGTTGAAACCCAATCTGGATTCGTTTGAACCAAATTCAGGTTCGTTGGAACCCAATTTGGGTTCATTGGAACCCAATTTGGGTTCGTTTAAACCCAATTCGGGTTTATTTAAACCCAATTCAGGTTTTTTAAACCAATTCGGATTCTTTGACCCCAATTCAGGTTTATTTGAACCACTTTGGGTTTATTTGAACTCACGTCAGGTTAATTTGAACTACTTTGGGTTTATTTGAACCTATGTCAGGTTAATTTGAACTCATTTTGGGTTCATTTGACCTATGTCAGGTTCATTTGAACCCACTTTAGCTCTATTTGAATCTAAATTAGGCTTAATTACAAAAAAACTTAAACTCAGGCAATGCTAAGTTTTAAAAGCTAGGCCTAAGAATTAGTAAAAAATTAGAAACTCAAACCCGAGGCAATGCCCGAGTCTTAAAAACTAGTAATGTAGATAAACACTATAATAATAAACATAATGAGATAAACACTATAAAACAAACACTATGAGACAAAAATATAATTTGATTGGCTAGTTATAAAACCAATTGGCTTTATGTATAAAATTTGATTTCTAAATTTGGAGCATCCACAGATTTATGTTTAAATTTCATGCCTTGGAATATATATATTAACTCTATACTTATCTGACATGTTCTATATAACTTATTTGCTCACTTTTTAATATGATATACAAAATTCACTCACCTTTTATGAGATAAGTAAATGCTTGCATATTTGTATTAGAAAATGACTGAATAAATTATATGAAAATCACTTAGTACTTATATCAAACATGTCAGATAATAAAGTTATCAGTTGAGTCTTTAGTAGATAAATAAGCAGTTATTATCTATGACACAACTGATAACTATTACTTATTATTATTTTTTAATTCCAGAGCAAAGCAATGGGTTATATGCTAGTATATAAATAAAAGCAAAAATTGTTTTATAATATGATATTTGATAAAAATTGTAATTTATTGTTTTCTAATCTTTTTATAATTTTTTTGGGTCCCTGGTCCAGAGACTTTCCCTTAGACGACCCCTTTAAATTAGACACCAAAAGTGCACATATAGCTTGATATACACTCCCCTGACATTAATCACCAGAATAAAGATTTTTTCTATAATAAAACATAGTAAATATTAAAATTTTTATGTTATATAAAAGATTAAAATTTTAGTAATAATTAATTTTTTGAAATTATTTAAAATTAACCACTGGTGAAATTTACCTTGTAGGGGTAATAATACCCGGGTCTGATCTGCAAGAGTTGCCTAATTTGATTGGGCAAAAATATCTTAAATTTAAATTTCTAGTGAATTTCACCACATTATATAATTATTATATAATTAATTTACTATATTTGTATAGGATCGATTGTGATCAATCGTGATTGTAACCGCGCTCAGACTTTTTTCCAAGTGCTTCGCAGAACCACGAAGCTTCATTGCATAACCAAATAATTACTTGATTAGCAAAAACAGGAGAGTCGAATTAAAAAAGCAGGCAGATCTTATACATACTAATGAGTCTAGAGTTTGGCGATAATTATCAACTCCATACTAGCGCTTAATAATGGATGATATTGACTGGGACTCGTTTATAGAAATCCCAGATATTTTCAATGACACAAATTTTTCGCCACCTTTTAACAATGAAGATAGTGATAGTATTATTGATATAAACCCTTGTTTATCGTATTCTAACCAGATAGATAACGATATTGTTGTAAATACAGATCTTCCAACGTTTACTGAACATAACAATAATCATCTATTGTTTTCCAAATATGGTGATAATCTTATGCCATTGTTTGAGGATGAAGATACAAGCTCATTGCTTTTTGGAAATGACAATAATCTCAGTAATATAGATGCTTTTAGTTATCAACATAACCTTCATGTAGAAAATGAATTTGATGATTGGCTATCCGTTGATAGGTTTATCTATAACTATTGCCTGGAGCGAGGATTTGGATACCAAGTTTTCCGTAATGACAAAGATTCAAATGATCCTAGTATTACTCGTCGCAAGTCCTTTCGCTGTTTATCAAGTGGTACTTATGAACCTCAGAAAGCAATTGACCAAAATTCACATCGTATACGGGGTACCACAAAAACGAATTGTGGATGGTATTGCACCTTTACACTCTCAAAAACTGCGTATCTTGTGAAATACACAACATTAAAAGATAAACATAATCATGAAGTGAATTCTGCCCAAGTATTTGATATTATTGCTAGGTATCGACGTTTTAGCAAAGAAATGATACAAGACATTAAGTTTTTTTTAGATTGTAAAGTAGCGCCCATGACTCAATTAGAGATGCTTAAAAAGAAATATCCACAACATGTATTTCATAAGCAAGACGTATATAATACAATTTATAAATTACGTAAGGATGACGATGAAAGGCTTGATTCTGTTTCATTTCTTGATATTCTTTTTGAAAAAATGTCTCAAGATCCGTGCTGGAAAGTATTTATCCGACATTCTGGTTCTGAACGTCGATTATCGGGTGTTTTCTGGATGTCTCCCTCCCAACAAGAGTTGTACTAGCGTTTTTCTGATATAGTGCTTAATGATAATACATGCAAGACAAATAAATACAATATGTATCTTAGTGTTTTTATGATAAAAGACAATTACGGAAAATTTCGAAATGTGGCAAATGC